GGACCGCCCTGACGACACCAGGCACGCAGAGCACCTTGCCCAGGCACGTTGTTTCTGTACCACATGGGACGAGGCTGCCCTGCACCACCCATCCTCACACCACGCGGCTCGCACGCGAACCCCAGCCTAGATCCTCCCTTCAGGAACAGAGAGGAACGGTGGGTTGTGGCTGCACTGGCTGGACAGATGCAGCCCAAGAGACAAAGCCCCTGTTCATCCCCGGCGCGTGCGGAGCCGGCGGTGCCGGCGGGGCAGCAGCACCGACAGACCCACGGCAGCTCCGCCGCAGCTGCGTGGGGCTAAAAAATGCAGACAAATTTCAATTATTTGTGTCTATAGGCAAATAAAGACAAACTAGTCACAGTCACTCTGAAAACAAGCTCACCAAAATAACCATCCGTGCTATTAAACCTGGGGTTTTTTTAACCTTTAATTTCTAAACAAGATTCCAAGTGTGGTAGTAAGTATTTATTCAGCAAACATTCCTGGAGAAAAAAAACTTAAGGTCACGTCAGGTTAATTTGTAACTGGGATAGTCAGGAATGACATCAATTGTTTTACCCTGAAATCATTAAAACATTGGGCTACTTTTAGAATGTTATTTTCCTAAATAATTTCCGTAAGTCCTTGCCTGTCTTGTCACAGGGTTTGAGTGAAGATGTTTTCTTCAAGTTGTTATTGAAGAAGGCAGAAAAATAATCCAACCTTGCTAGATAACAGCACACACATCTAGGAGGAGATTAAATGAACCATCTCAGTTTTATCTTTAGAAAATACCACATCAGAAAACACAATCTTATGGTTTAAATTCTTTTTTTTTTTTTTTAAACCTGCACGGATAAGCAGCAGAAACCAGGAGGTAATCATGAAGTTTCCATGAGCAATGATAAATAAATTCTCTGCTTTTTCCTTCCAAGATGCAGCTCTTGGCGTGTTTCCTTTTCTCCGGGAGGACTCATCTCTGGGCCTCCATCCCATCAGGCACTTGGAGGTGTGAGGTTCAGCCTAGCTGGGCTCAGTATTCATGAAAACAGAAACTGGGAGCTACCTTTTTGGCAGAAAGGTGAACCATGTTTTCGTATGTGATCATAAATACAAGATCTGAAGCTGGCTCAACCTGTAGCCTTTGGGCACAGCTTTAAATGTAACACACTTGCACATGTTTAATGAAGCACTGCATAAACATGCCCAGTAAAACACAACAGGTCAGCTGCAAAAACAGATAAAACATACATTTGGTGCCCTGGTTGAATGCTTTGGCAGCCACTAACCAAACTCACTAAGAGCACTATTTAATGTGGCTTCTTAAGGGTGACACTGTGATTACAGTCACAAAAAAGATGAGGGATTGAGTTAAAAAAACTGAGTGTGAACTGTGCTGTGCCCCTACACAGGGAGTGAGAGGATCAAACAGATTTAATGATTTCACAGAAATGGTCAAACACACAAAAACTACCATACATATTAGCCAAAGTACTTATCACTATTAACACCTCTCATTTCTTTTGTGCAGTTTTAAAGAAGATGACATCAAAATAATCACACAAGGAAATGCAGCAGCTACAGCTTTGCTGATAAGCCAGGAAGGCTGCGCAAGTGTCTCAGGCTGGGAAGTTTTCCTTTCTCCCAGGCTGCCGGGAAATTGTGCTCTCTCATAGCCCTGGAACAATTACAACACCCCAAGGACAAAGTCTGCTGTTACTCACCTCCTCCTTAGTGGAGAAAACCCCATAGGGGAGATTTTGGAGAGGAAAATCCGAGTCCTTGTGTACCTGGATGAAAGACATGCTGAACCCTGAGCAGTCCCCACTCCCAGATGACAGCACCCACCTCCCGGGTGCTACACTTCTTCCGAGGAGGAAGATCCTCTCCAGGTGTTGTAGCCCAGGGCAGGGAAGCATCAAATCCCACCCTCTGTCCTCAGACACAAACCAATCGCTGCTCAGTCGCCATCCCACCCCTCTGCCCGGTCCCCTGGCAGGTTAATCAGTGCCAGAGCTTTGCCTGAGTCAGCAGCTGTTGACTGCTCCCAGCAGGCAGCGACCCAGGGGAAACAGGGTCTCCCTGCCCACAGTTACCTTTCCTGCAGGCATTCAGA